TTGTACTGCTCTAACAGTTAGGATGTTTTTTCTTGATATTCAACAAGCCCCTCTGAGCCTCCGTCTCGATGGTCTTTGGTTCTCCAGGCCCGGTATTGAAACGGGAAGGGGGGGAGCCAGGAAAGGCTGGCCTTCCAGATGGGGAGGGCCTTTTCCCTCTTGCCAACAATTCCCATGAGCCCTAGCCAGCAGAGCCAAAGGTGGAGGATTATGGGGTTTGTAGTCCAGAGTTATCAAGAGGGAGGCCTCCCATGGAGCCACCTACCCACCCACGCCAGAAGGGGCACCCCTCCCTTTTACTTCGGATTGGTGGGACTCAGTATGAACCTGTTTAACGTCTGCCTGTCCAAGGGCTCGGTGGCTCTTTTTCTCACTCTGAGGGACAGGGGGTGCAAGACCCAAGGCTTATAGGGAGGGGGGGTCTCATTAAGCTAGCAAAGGGGGCAAGAGAGGAGGGGAGGCGGGCAGAGCAGCGCTTCTCTCTGGACTACTTGGGAAAAGGCCCCTTGTGAGAAAACAATAACAATAATCCCCCCACACTTTTTTTGGGGGGGGTGTCACGCCAACGTGAACAGGCCAAGCTATGGCAAAACAAGGCAGATTTCGGGCGAATCTTGCAGGAAACTTCCTGGTGATCTAGAAGGCATGTCCTCTGGGTTCCCCTCCAACCGAGGACCACCTTTGGGTGCCCCATGGACCCTCCCCCCCCCCGCAGACACTGGAGACCAGAGGAATCCACACCCTCCTTTTTTCTAAGCAGGGCTGGCCCCCTTAAGCCTTCCAGCTCTTTCAGAGTGGAATGCTATTAACCCCTGATAGACAGCTAAGGCAGCCACCGCTAAGGCTTTTGGAAGGAAGAGAGGTTTTCCCTACACAGGCTGGAAAGACCCCGGTCACATGGGCTCCCTTGGACTACAGACCCCATCATGGCCAGCCAGAGACGTAGCTGGCCTTTGCTCATGTTGGCAAAAGGCCGGGCTGGACTCTGACCAGACGGGTTTATAGCGGCCAGGACAACTGGGTCCTTTCCTCCCCCCCATCACCACCTGGAGTTATAGCACCCCCTGCTGTCCAGAGTGGGCAAAAACAATAATAAAGCAAATGAATTTTTTTTAGACATCTCATTTGTTAGCTCTTTTTTTGTTTGTTTTAATCACAGGCACAATTTATGCGCCAGACATGTTTTCCCGATACAATTGCTATTCCTCCACGCTACAAAAAATGCAAAAAGTATATCAAATAAGTACAAAGAAATGGAGACCCACTGTCCGTACAAACGAGGCTTCTGTAAATTAGCAAGGATTGGGGGGGGGGGCGAGAATCTACCACTCTCCATTGACCCAGAGACCCATTTAACAGCTGCAACCATGTGAGACTTAAATGTGCCCCCCCTTCAATAGAGGGAGCTTCCTTTTTCTTTCTGGTGGCAGAAAATAACACACACACCCCCTCGACACTCCACCATCATCACCCTTCCCTCCTTTCGGCAACACCTGAGTTCATAAAACCTCACCTGCTGACATCTTTGGTGCCAACAACTCAAGTCTTTACCCCCACCCCCAGAACTCTCGTAACATTCACACATCCCCATCTGGAGCCATGATTCCCCCCCAAAAAACCCTCCCCACCTGAAGTAATCGAGCAACCAAGGAAACATTATCCTTTTCCTGCCGTACAGCTCTGGATCGCCAAACCGTCAAGGCCATGGGGTGGAGAGGGGTCAGCGGTGGTCTTTCCCGAGGTTCTGCCTGAATGCTCCCCCCCAATCCAGCCCATAGCATCCTAACCTGGAGGATAACGTTTTCCACCCAAATTTTTTGGTCCCTTTGCGATCCTTCCAAGGTTCCAAAGCCCATAATTAGGGGGGTCTTGGACATGCTCTCTGCGCCCATCAGCCACAAGGACTGAGGACAGGAAAGTCCATCATTCACCCCACCTTCTCCAATCCACCCTGGTGGGGGGGGGTCAGGGGGTCTGTCTAGGTGCATGAATCCAGCCGAAAGCCCTCATGGGAATGAGATGGAGGGAGCCCTGCTGCTCAAGCCCCTGACCCACACAGCCCCCACTGTGAAATGCCTTGTATGCCCTCCAGCACACCCCACAAGGAACAGTCATCTCTCCCTCTCCATCCAGAAAGTCGGGACAGGGGAAAAAAAGCTGGTCCTTGGGAAAGCTGGGGGGGCGGGAGAGTCACTTCCGTGCCTTCCGGAGCCGAGTGACGTGAAGAGTCTGAGCCCGCAAGAGAAAAAGGAGCTTCCGGAGTGGCAAGTAGCAACGTGTGGAACAGAGTGGAAGGAATGCTCGGATCCTGTTTTCTGCTTCTCGGCAGAAGCGAAGGCCCAGCAAAATGGGAGCAACGCGTGGAACAGAGTGGAAGGAATGCTTGGATCCTGTTTTCTGCTTCTCGGCAGCAGCGAAGGCCCAGCAAAATGGGAGCCGGAAGCTCCTGGGGGGCTCCAGCCTGCCTCTCTGGGCCAGCGTGGCTCCCCCCCCGACCAAAACCTGCCTCCGCCTCCGGAAGGCCGCCTTCCCTGCCACCGCTGCCCTCCTCTTCTTCCTCTTCCTCCTTTATTCATACTGGGCAATGAAGACCATCATGGCCACCCCGCCCAGGAGGCCCAGCACCTCCAGCAGGGACTGGACCGGCCCAGACTCCTGGAGAAGCTCCGGGATCACGGAGACGGTGGCCACGTAGATGAAGCCTCCCGCCGTGAAGGGCAGGATCCAGGCCGTGGCCGCCTCCCCGACGCCCTCCGCCAGCAGGGAGCAGACGGTGCCCGCCAGGGCCCCTAGGGCTGTCACCAGCTGCAGCTTCATCGCCTGGCGGGATGGGGAGAGAGAACGAAAGAGGGAATCAGAACAAGGCCAGGGGAAAGACTCGCCAGAAGCCACTTCCTACATGCCGAAGGCAGTAGGCTTCCTGGGAGTTGTAGTTTCACTGCTCTTTAGCTATGACAGAAGGCACCTCATTAAAAAAACTGAAAAAACACTACAACTCCCAGAAGGACAAGCAGCTTTCTTTCGGGTACAATAACAACAGGAAGCAAGGCCGGAAGCTAGGTCGTGCCTTTTCCATGGTAGGCCCTGCTCCAGGTGAGTGAAAGGCAGGCGTCTGCAGATGTGCTTTTCTGGGCTGGAACTCCCAGAATTCTGCCTGGAGAAATCTTGGGAGAATCCTGGGAGTTGGAGTCTCAACCACCCGCCCCCTTCAAGTGGTGTGGGAGGCAACAGCAGCATCAACCCCTGGCCTGCCCCCTTTCCTAAAAGACAGACTACGGAATGATCTTGCTCCCCCCCTTTGTCCGGCGTGAAGGCCATCCTGCCACCAATGCAAATTCATGTGCCCATCCGTCTGGCCTCGGTAGGTGGGAGACAGATCATACCCAGGGAGCAAAATGTCTTGGGACGAGCCTGTTTCCTCACCCTTCTCCTGCCATTCTGAGGGCTAACCAGACCCTCTTCTATGCCCACCAAATACTAGCCTTCTCTTATAAAACAACACTTTCATAACAAGCTTCCACAGGTTATTCATGCAGTGCATCCACCCTCGTAAGCTAGGAAAGCCAAATTTACCCTAATTACTTTAATTCTTTTCATGTCATCTTTCTCCCACAAGATGACTCTTTTTTTGTCCTTTACTCTCCCCTAGTAGCTGATAAGACTGCCTTCCGACCTGGGAGTCTCATCTTCCGTCACTATCTCTTGTTTCATTTTGGACTGTCCCAGGGCAGAGCTCACAAAAGGCAAGGAGAAAAGCAGAGGCACGGAAGCAGCCCTCCGAGGAGGAAGCCACGTGGCGTTACCTTCCGCTTGCTGCAGCCGGACTGCACCAGGATGGCAAAGTCCCCCACCTCGTGGGGGACCTCATGGAGGAGCACCGTCAGGGTGGTCACGGTGCCAACGGTGCTGCCGGCCAGGAACGAGGCCCCCAGGGCCAGCCCATCCGTGAAGTTGTGGGCAAAGTCGGCCGCCAGGTTGAGGTACCCGGCCACGAGCATGGCTGGAGGGGGGAGAGAGAGCGAGCAAGGAGGTGAGCGGCTGGGTGGGTGGGTCCCAGCACCACCCTTCAACATTAGAAGGGCCAAAAAAAAAAGGGCCACCCCCCACCCCACCCATCTGCTCCTGAGCGGCACAGCACGTGGCCAGAGGTTCTCTCCTGCCACCCTTACTGGACTCTGGGGCGTCATCCTTCCTCCTGGGGGCCGCTTTCTCGGCCGTCCTCCGCCCCAGCTCTTTCTCTGCTTCGTCGTCACTGCTCTTGGCCTTGGCAGCTGAGGAGGAAGATGGGACGAGATCAGAAGGAGTCCACAGTGGGGTGTGCGGCTCCTGCAGCATCCCTGGCCACAGCTGAACAGACCAACAGGAGTGAGCATCGGCCGAGAGGTCTCTTAGACCGAAGGGGTGCCCCCCCAACTTTCACGCTGGCTAAGCGGCTCTAAAAGGCCATCTTTCAAGGGATGCAAAGAACGTGGGTGACTCTCTTAAGGACAAAATTTGGGATCCACACACACACACACACCCTCCTGCCAAATAAAAGGCTACCTTTCAAGGGATGCAAAGAACGTGGGTGGGTGGGTCTCTTAAGGACAAATTTGGGATCCACACACACACACACCCTCCTGCCAAATAAATAAACCCCAGAGGGACTCTAAGAGTTCACGCTGGCCGTCTTCTCCCTGCCAAGGGGGAGGAGACCGCAAATAAGGGGGAAGGGGTTCTGGCCCGGCCCCGGCCCTGTGACCCACCATGGCTGTGCCCGTGGAGGTGCCCGTGGCCACCCTTGACATGCCTGACAAACTTCTCCACCACCAGGAAGGCCACGATGCCGCCGAGGACCCAGAGGCCGACCATCATCATGTGCTGGTGCTCAGGAGCTGGGAGAGGACCAGATTTTTTGCGGGGGGGAGAGAGAGAGAGAGAAAGGAAGTGAGACCCTTTCAGGCTTTCTGGCCTCTGACCAGCCCACATCTCTCAGGGTCTCGATCGGCAGCCTCACTTTCCCCTCTGTGCATCTTTGCCCAGATTTGCCAGCTGTGGGGAAAACCCGTCCCGCCCCCAGGGCAGACTCTCATGTGCCTCTGGACACGGCCTGCTGAGACCCCCCACTCCTCTCGGGGCTCCTTCCTGACACCCTACTGAGCATCCTCAAAGCTCCTCTGCTTTCCCAGGGACGCCAGACGCCCTCTTGATGATTGGAGAAACGCGCTTCCTGCAGGCGTCCTACGGCGTGTGTCTGCCTGCTGATTCTGCCAGGCTCCCGGCCCTTCGCCTGACTCTCCTGCCTGGTGGGGTCAGGAACACCGCCGGAAAAGCCCATTTGCAGGGGAATCGGCGTCCGGTTGTTTTTTTACCCTGATGAGAATGCCCATGTCCAGGCGTCTTGGGGGGCGCGTGGGCGTGCCCTGCTCCTTCTCCGTGGTGGGAATGAGGCTCTGTGGGGAGAAACAGGCCCCGTGAGAAGGGGAAACCGCCTCCCCCCTCTTCCCAAGCAACTGCCAACCACCTGGCAAGCTCCCCCCCCCTCCCAGGACTGCGGGGGGGAAAGGTCGGGTCGGGAACCAGGCCGCTCACCCAAGGCGTGTGGGATGAGGTGCAGGAAGGCGTCTCCCAGGAGGCCCCCCGAAGCAAAGCTGAGCAGCAGCTTAAGCAGGGCCTGGTGCTGGGAGGTCTTGGACTCCACCGGGATGAGGAAGAGGATGAAGTAAGGGGCAGCGCTGATGAGGAGGGTGGCCCCAATGGCCTGCAAGAAAGCGGGGGGAGGGAGGAGTGTTTTTAAAACATTTCATGCCGACCGTGGAAGGCGTCTCCCAGGAGGCCCCCCGAAGCAAAGCTGAGCAGCAGCTTAAGCAGGGCCTGGTGCTGGGAGGTCTTGGACTCCACCGGGATGAGGAAGAGGATGAAGTAAGGGGCAGCGCTGATGAGGAGGGTGGCCCCAATGGCCTGCAAGAAAGCGGGGGGAGGGAGGAGTGTTTTTAAAACATTTCATGCCGACCGTCACTGAACAGCTCAGCAGCCTTCCAACAAAGAGCTCTCATCCCACACCACCCAGTCGGTGGCAGGAGGCAGGGAGATTTACCTTCCTTTTTCCAACTGGCAATAGAAAGAAACCAGCCACGTCTAACGCTCAGCATGGCCTACCTCACAGGGGTGCTGGGAAGATTTTTTTTTAAAAAAGGCAGAGCCCCTCTTGGCAGGCTGAGAAAAAGTCAGCTGCTGTTTTTGTTTTGGAGAAATGCTCCCCGCCATGGTTTCAGCAGGGCCCAATCACTGCACCTTTTGTTATACGGTGGAGAGACAGAGCCTTCTTGGGGGGGGGGAACCCCAAGTGCCCTCTGAACGAGAGAAGGGCCCGTCCCAGGCGTGAGCACTCACGTAAGTCCAGAGTCGCAGAGGCTCCAGCTTCTCTTTCCTGGGGGTTGTCTTCTTCTTGTGCTCAGGGGACGATTCCGCCTGGCTGGGTCCCCCAGTGTGGTCCTCGTGCGAATGGGCATGAAAGTGAAGGTGGGAATCCTCATGGGGGTGGGCATGACTGTGCCCGTGATGGGGGTCCTCATGCCCGTGGCTGTGCCCATGATGATGTCCCTCGTGCCCGTGATGATGGCCCTCGTGCCCGTGATGATGTCCCTCATGCCCGTGATGATGGCCCTCGTGCCCATGATGATGGCCCTCGTGCCCGTGATGACGTCCCTCGTGCCCATGATGATGGCCCTCGTGCCCGTGGTGAAAGTCCTCCTGCTCGTGCAAATGGTCGTGGGGAGGGCCTTCGTGGCCGTGGCCATGTCCGTGCCAAATATGCTCATGTGTGTGGCCGTGGTCAGCGTGGCTGTGGCCATGGTGAAGGTGAAGGTCCTCATGAGCATGCCCATGGAAGCCTTCGTGCTGCGCAGAGACGCCCCAGGTCACCATCGCGCAGACCGCCAGGAGAACGACTGCGCCACGAGGGCGGTTCCCCCACGGTGACCTGCCAACAGCCATGGCGGTGGTGGATCTGTCGGGGAAGAAGAGGAGGCGAAGGGTGAAGCGGACCAGCTCAGCACAGGCCTTGTTTGCCCTTCTCACTAGCCTCCCCTGCCTGGCTCCCTTGGCTCAGCCGGTCTAGCTGCTCCCGGGGCACTTCTCCAAAGCCATCACTCTCTGCACCTCTGCAGGTTTCACTCCACCTGGAAAGGGGCTCTTCAGTGATTCACCCGCACCACTGAGGTTCTCCAGCCTCCGTGGCCTGTTGTCGATCTGGACAAAAGAAAGGAAGCTGGGAGTCACAGTTTTGCTGCCCATGAGGATCTACTAAAGAACTGCTCCCTCCCGGGAAGGCTCCTTTTCTTTTCTTTGTACGTTAACCACAAACAAAGGCTGGAGAAGCCGATGGTGGAGACGAAAGGCTCAAAGAGTCGTCTCTAGGGGAGCAAAACATACAGGTATGCAGATTCGAGTTCATGAAAGGGCACACCTCTGTGGGTTAGATCCAGGCTACGCCCCCCCCTCCATATCTCTCTGATGGCGATCAACAATTTGACCCAACTGCGTCACAGCGGAAAGGGACCCACCTCTGTCTTGTACGGGCCTGTTATTTTGCACACTGGCATCTCCGAGCAGCTGAGGCTTAACCAACAGGAACAGAGGGAGCTGCTCAGGATAGTTCCCTCCCTCCCTCGGAGTGCGAGCTCCAACCCTCCGAAGGCTTTTCTAGGCCTCCCTGCCTAGATGTTGCCTGGGGGAAAGGAGCCTTGATCTATATGCAAACAAAGGGCACTTCCATGAAGCCCCAGATCCCGCCCCCCCCCTCCAAGTAGCTCCCAAGCAACCCCAAGCCAGCACATCTTGCTTGAGAACACGGGCAGGGCAAGACAAGGCCTAGCATGCTTTTCAAGAATCCCAGGGGAACCAGCAGCAGGAACCATCAAGGAAAGGCGTCCGTCTGGTGCCAGTCTGGATGTCTCCCCCACCCCTCCTTCTCTGCTTGGTGGAATGCCCTCCCGGGAACCACTCCAGTTCCTTCTTTTTTCTCCCCATTAGCAACGTCCCCTTTTGCAACCCAGCAGGCCGGCCTGAAGAAGCTTGCTGTCC